GTCTCTAGGCAGGAGTGGCTACATAATTTGGCAGGCCCAGTGCGAAACAAGAAGGCAGGGCTCCTTGTTCAAAAATTATTCAGGATTTCAAGACGGTGACCACAGAGCATTAAACCAAGTACAGGGCCCTTCTAAGTGTGGAGCCCCAATGCCACTGCATGCCCACGAAGCCAACCCTGTCTTTAGATCAAAGGTGCTGGCACCAAATTGTTCCTTAGAAAGACAAATAATTCTGACTTCATCTTATTAAGAGACTTCCTCTTAATCAGCTCAAGAAACTTGACTGGCTAGGGCAGGTGGCTCAGGAGAAAAAGGGAGATATGTAGAGCTTCTAGGAAGACCCATTTTTAGCAAGTCTTAGGTCTTTTGCCTGGGCCTGGCTATGATCTAGGAGAACGTGATAGTGACGACAGGAAAACTGGCTTCTGTTCAGTCTGTTTTGAGCCTCTTGAATGGCATCATGATACGGCTAAAGTGGGGACTGGGAGTTTAAGATGATAGTTAAGCTTTTACTGGTCTGCCCAGTAGTAACCAGGGCTTCCTTCTTCTGCCATCCAGGTGGGCCTTATTTGCTAAAAAGAACCATACACTAGGAGTCCTTGAAAACCAGGCCTAGTGGGAATGAAGGTGTTGTATACATGTGTGTGTTTTACAGCTGGACACAGTGGCTAACCTCAGTCTAACCTTACCATTTAATATCTTGGATAATTAAGGTCTTTTGCCTGAGGGGTACTGTTGGTTTCAGGTATCCCAGAATCCCCTAACTTCCTTGAAGCCAGAAATTCATTCCACTGGGAATCCATACAGCAAAGTTGAGTCAACATTGTGAAGGAGGTGCTTGACTTCAGACTTTCTTCCACCCCTACCCCATACTCCTCCTCCTAAGCTCTCTCCAGGGATCTAACTCAGGAAATACAAGTGAGGCCCAAATCTTGGATTACATTCCTGGAGATGGTAAAGAAAAAACTTGCGGACAAAGTAAGATGTTATGCCTGGAGCCAGGCCCAATGCTGGGCAGAGTCACAGAAGCCACAGCGGCCCGCAAAGGACCACCTCAGCGTCTGGGCTTCCAGCAAGGTGTGCAGGGCTCACTGCAGAACACCCATCCAAAGAAATTCTTCAAAGTCCCCTGATACGTTTTCAGTGGATTTGGAGCTTTCTTAATGAGGGGTGCTCAGGAGAGCTACCTCTCCCACATCCCCTTCACATTCTCACTCTGGATCAGGCTCCTTGTCCTGGCCTTGAGGATGGCAATTTATTTTATTAATGTACGCTTGAGAGGAAAATACATCATTTCTGCAGGTTGGTGGAAGAAATACATGAAGGCTGGGTACTCTCGCCTCACCTCTGTCTTCACCGGCGACGATGAGTTGGGCTGGTAAGGGTAGTAGTAGAAAGATGTTTGGGCGCTGAGGTGGCTGGGATGGGATAAGGGTCTGGTCTTCACCTGGTGGTCACAGCTGCCCCAATGCCCAAGTAAAGGCATTGAGGCAGTTGTAACCATGCCATCACGCCTGGACCTTTCTCTGCCTTTTCTCCTTAGGGTTGAAGACCAACTGACATAGGCCTATTGGTGGGCTGAGGGTTTTGGATTCCTGGAGGTTGTGAGTCCTTCTCTGAAACATTCTTCCCCTCACATTGCTTTATCTGGGTGAATGTTCTGGCTGATGGTGCCACGTGAGGGACCCATAGGAATGCCATTGCAAGGGGCAACTGGGCTGTGTTCTGAGGCAGTGCCAATAACTCCCTGAAGTCATGGTCCTACAGCAACGTAAGCTAACTGGGAGGGCACAAAAGGCAAGGCTGTTGGCCTCAGTGGTGCTAATGAAAAATAGTTATAAGACCAGTATATCTAGATGAGGAAACAAAATTTTCAGTTGATTCTATGGGCATTGTAGGCATTGTAAGAGGAAATAAATCATTTCCCGGAGTAAGAAGCAGAACGGGAAAAAATATCAGAGATCCAGTCTGACTCTGGGGAGAAAAAAAAAAAAAAGACTGTTTTCAGATTTTCCTTTAAAATGGTCTCTAAAATATTCAAGTCAATTAATGCATCACCACCTATCTAGTGGGTCAAGAGGTACTCAGGTGATTCACATCCATAGTTACCAGAAACTCATTTTTACTTACATGACATTCATCTTTCTGCATCTCTAAACATTCGATACGGATCCTGTAAGAGCAGCCAAGGTGGCTGGCCAGAGATAATAAATAGTAGTGGTTAAGAGCAGAGGCTTAGGAGCTCTTACTCTCCGTGTGTCCTTGGGCAAGTTACTTAACCTCTCTAAACCTCATTTTCTTCATTGGAAAAAATAATAATAACAATGGTACTCACCAAATAGAGTTTCCTTGAGGTTTGAGATAATGTATTTAAAGCTTTTGGTACGCCAAAAGCAAGTGTGTCTTGGTCCAGTTCATGCTGGGCTCATCACCATCAGCACAGTATCATCATCATCATCATCATCATCATCATCAGTCTTTGGAGCTACCATTTATCAGTAGGGTGCCATGCACTCCACTTTAGCAAGCTTTTCACCTCCTTAAAATCCTACAAAAGAGGCTATTTATTCCCTAAAACTCAACTGTTGACAGATCTGAAATCCTGGGCTCATTGACTGACCCACTGTGAAAGTGGACTCAGAGGAAGGATGATGAGAATGTAAAGATTTAAGCAGAAAAATGGAGAAATCTGCCAGGGCTCCATTCCCCACACAGGTCAGACTGGCCCTCAGCTCATGGAAGAGTGGTAAAGAGGAAGGAACACTGGACTATTTGTTCATAGCCCATCACTTGTAAGAGGTTGAGCAAGTTATTTAATGTCCCCAAGTCTTGATTCTCTTCATCTGCAACTTGAGGATAAGGTAATAATGTCTGCTTTGCTAACCTCACAGCATTAACCTGACGATTATATGAGATACGGTACATAAACTTGATGTGAGGACGGTATTCTTATTACACCTACCAAGAAAGCCCCTGATCCATAATTTGGACTTGTGCTGTGCTAGTTCCTTCTTTCATTCAACCATTATTTATTATGCAGAAGCCCTATTCTCACACCACATCCTGCTCCATCTGTAAATCAATGCATTGATAGATATTCTGCTGTATATAATTAGACCTTTGTGAGTATGCCTTGTATGTGTCAGTTCTTTAAGGTCTGATTAATTGGAAATTTTAGCAGCTATTATTTGACCTAAAAGCAGAGGGCCAGCTCTGAGATCTGGTGACTCCACATAGTAATCTAGGAGGCCCTGCTTGGTTTTGGCCATCTCTGCTAACCATAGACATACCTTCACTGAAGAGCCATTTATTATGCCCTCAGCTATAAATGGAGACAAATATTAAAAATGATATTCGAAAGAAAAATAGTGTAGCTTTAAGAGCTTGAGGCTTGGGAATAAGAAACATTTGACTCAGAGTCTTGCTCTGCCACATAAAGGCTGTGGGACGTCCTGAATGTTAAGCCATCTGCTCTTCGAGCCTCTGTTTTTTTCTTTTCTAAAGTGCACAATTGTGATCTGAATTAAATTAGGTTAAATACATATTTAGAAGAGCGTTGGCACCTATATAGTAGAATACCAAAAAAGGATAACTATTATCATCACTAGTATTCATGAAAAACACGTCAGTGCCTTCAGCCATCCCTGACTTCAGGGAGACCCCAGTCCGATGACAGAGACATAGTCCATGTCCTTAGGGAGTATCTATTCTGACTGGGGAGATAAAAAAACGTCAGAACAGAATGCTATGTTTGGCCTTTCCTGCTAAGAGGTTCAGAGCCAAATTCAATGGTCAATGTAGGAAGCACTTCATCACACCATTTTAACATAATTGTCTCCTCCCTTTCTCTGTGTGACTTCTGAGCATTATAACTTCATTGTAGCAGTCATACTGAATAAAAGCTTTCATTGTAATCTGCTACATCACTCCTCTTTTTTTAAAACAGCCAATTTTAAAGAAATAACCATTTCTTTACTTAAAATTCCAGTACCGGAAAATGATGAACCAAAGAGAGTGGGGGTGGGATTGGACTCCGTAAAGATTGGGACTCACAGGTCAGACCTGGCTGTCACAGGTTCCGCTGCTCAGGCCTGGGTCTAGACGTAGGACAGTCCTCACTACCACACCTGAGATACTTGTTCAAAAGACAAATTGCCAAGGCCCAACCCAAACCTCTCATGTCAGAATGGCCAGGAAACTATAGGCTTGATAACGGCCCCTACATGATTCATATCATCTGGGAAGTTTGGGAAACGCCAAGCCCAGTTTTTCTCTGAGGGTCATGAGAGGACCATCAGAATCACTTAGAGCAGCTTCCTTAAAAATACAGATTTGTGGGCCCCTAGGGCCTACTGAATCAGAATTTCTGGGGGCAGGCCCTGGAATATGCATTTTTACTTGCACCCAAAGTGATGCAAGTATGAGCTGACGTTCACTCACTGGCCCTTCTGTAATGTGAGCGACTGGTCACAAGTGGGCCAGGTCAGAATGTCTGGTGATAGTTACTTCAGGTGGCATGAGTGAGGGAGATGATTAAAATGTATAGCCTTCTTCCACAGGCAGCCAAGTAGCACAAACTCCTCTACTACATGCAACGCTACACTGCAGAGTTCTCCTAAGTTTTCACATATCACTATCCCTCAGAAGCACTAAAGGTCTGACAGAGGGCTCCTTGTTGTCTTTGGTCCTTTCTCACAGTGGAATCAAAGCTTAAAGTTCTTTGTTTACAAATCTTCTCAGGATCCACTATCCGGCTGTTTGGTCCCCTCAGCACACTCCATTACAAGGCCAGGTTTTGGGGCAAGTGACCTGGACCTAAGCCAGGCCGGCACGGCATGGAAGGTGTGGAAATCAACCCCTCACAGTTGACATGGTTCTACTTCTGGGCCTGACATTAATGATTGTCTCAATTTTAGTCATAAATGAAAGACAAGGCAAAGTGCACTTAAAGCAGTGGGACGGATAAGTCATAGCAGAAATATATATTGCAAGGGGTCACATTTTGACTGACATTAATTTTAATTGTCTACTTACCTGTATGTCTTTATCAATCCATCCATCCACCTACCTACCCAACATTCCAGAACTATATACATATAGTACCTTTCAATGTACTCACCATATTAAGGGAATATAGATGAGCCTACTTATTTCCTCTCACATCTTTTTTGGCCAGAGATCAGGCAGTGGCTGTACGCTTCCTGCTGCTGTATACACGGGTCCCTCACAGGACCTGTATGGCTTCTGCCAGGCCTTGGATCCAGCCGGGCTGGAGTGGCAACCACCAGCAGATCTCTCAGAGAAACATCATGGCTGTGAGAACTCTGCAAGAGGAGGAGGGAGGACATATCCAGTGATCTCTTCTCACCAGAGTTTTGGCTGCGGAAGTAGCACTTCTGGGGCAGGAAGGAGTTTTCTGAAAAGGGAAAATCATTGGCATCATCAGTTTGTGTTGCTGGATTCAGCACAAATTCCTATCAAATGTCACCTCCCTCTAGGGTCCCCGAGCCTAAATTGGATCCTGAATCCGAATTTCTCCAAATAGTTCCTCTTCCCTGTGTCTTCATACTTAATGCCCCCAAATGGTCCAGATTCAGAAGAATGGACCTCATCTGAATGAGAACCAGGAATTGTTGAAGAGGGTACTTTGACATAGCATTCTATTTTTATCTTTCTCGTCTTCCGAATAAGACTAGAGACTTCCTAGGGACATGGACTATGTCTCCACCATCAGATTGCAGTCTCCCTAAAGACAGGGGATGCACACCCTTCAGACTGGGTGCTACCCAAATATTAGGACTGGCTCTGTTGGTTACTGCATCCTCTAAGCTCTTGGCACATTCCTGTGCACACTAGCACTCACGTGACTGGTTCCTCAACACCAGCCTTGGGTGGTAGGAAGCTGGCAACATGAAGAGCTTCTCCCTCAGTTGAACCTTGGTGAATAGCTCTGATAGCAGATGCCGCTTCTTCGCGTTATTCTTTAGCAAAATCCAGTGTGGGTTCTGACTTCCAAAGAAGCGCTGGGATTTTGTAGGCAAAGAAATTTTAGATATTTTCTCCTGGACGAGGTGTCGGGGGATCTGCTGCTGCTTGCATTTTAAGGAGACCACCCTGTCCATCTCTGGGCTACTGCATTCAGAACTGGTTGCCACGGTCATGTTTTGCAGAGACTCAGAGGAGTCTGAGACCTGGGTGGTGGGTTCTGGGAAGGTTTCTAGTGAAGTTAAGGGCTGGAAGAAAACACAGTCCGAAATAAGATTGTGGAAAGCAAAGGGCTACTTCCTATGCCATTTCTGATTTAATTAAACAGATCAACAGCTGAGTTCATCAGCGGCAAGAAAAGTTAGGTCAGAATAGTTTCCTGACCAAGAACTGGTTAAACACCAGGGCAGAAGATGGGGTCGGGGACTATCCATAGAGCTTCCTCTGAAGGTCTTTAAATGTGAAAGAGATTTTATACACTAGATATTGGTAATCAGAGAATATATATTATTCCACAGTTATTAGACTGGCAAAAATTAGAAAGCTGTTGGGATTTGGGGGTACAGAGACTCTCAGGCATGCTGATGAGAATGCAGACAGACAGTCACTCTGGTGAACCACCTAGAAACTATACTTGGTAAAATAAGATTACAAATACCCTGTGACTCAGCAATTCTGCTCCTAGTTATATATACTAAATAAGTTGTTAGATAGCTCCTTTTAAAAAAGTGTGTATACCAATGTTCCCAGCAACATTATTCACAATATCCAAAAGTAGCCAAATTTCCACCAAAAGATGAATAGATAAACAAAATGTGGTATATATACATAATGGAATACTATTCAGACTTAAAAAAAGCAGAAAATCCTGATACACACTACAACATGAATGAACTTTGAAAGCATTGTGCTAAGTGAAATAAGCCAGACACACAAATACAAATATTGTATGGTTCTATGTATGAGTTACCTAGAGCAGTCATAGAGACAGAAAGTAAAATAGAAAGGAACAAAGTAAGACAGAAAAAATATCTGAAAAAAAAAAAACCATTAACTTGTCAAATTTGGTATAAGATGTCAATTTACAAAACCATTAACATAGGAATCCAAAAAAAGTAAAGCGAATAAAATTACACCAAGATACACATAATCAAATTGCTAAAATCCAGAAATAAAGAGAGCAGCCAGAGAAGAATGACACATTACATATAGAAAACAATGTTATAAATACAGCTGACTTCTCATCAGAGAGAGACAGAGAGAGAACTGAAGATAGCAGTACATTTTTAAAGAGCTGCAAGAAAAATAATGTCAACCTAGAATTCTAGATCCAACAAAAATATCCTACAAAATGAAAGCTAAATAAAGGCATTTTCAGATAAACAAAATCAGAAAATTCATGACCAACAGATGTGTATTACAATAAATACCAAAGGGAGCTTTTCAGGCTAAAGAGAAATGATATCAGGTGACAAATAAACAAACAAACAAAAAAAAACAAATAAATAAATAGACCTGTAGTTTTGGCTCAAAGATCTGCTTTTCTTTTCTTTGCTCCACTCTCTTGAACCCCCATTTCCATGAAATTCTAATGTGACAGAAGCCATGGTAGCAACAGAATCGACAGCCGGTCCTGAGGAACCTAAAGCTCTGAGGGATGGGAAACTTCCTCTTCTAGTGAAGGAGTTGTGGTCCCAAGAGGGTGGAGTGACCCTCTAATACTTATTCTCTCTGTGACTTTCTGCCGCTTGGCCCTGGAAGTAGGTATAGTCAGAAGATGTGTGCCGCAAAGCAAGGTAACTAAAACTTCAGCTCTCTTGCCAGACGACTAAAAAAAAAACAGACCCAGGGAACCAGAAAGTACCAGGGAGATTGTGGAGAGGAGGAAGCTGAGAATGTGACTCAGTAAAATGGATTATAAATTTACCCCCGAGCCGCCCATGTGCAACTCTGACCATAAACAGCTTACCAAAAACTTTAAGAATTGGATTTAGGGATAGATCGCCGATGCCAAAAAGATCTGCCATGCAAACACGAAGCAGAAGAAAGCTGGAGTGGCTCTGTGAATATCAGCAGGGATCCAAACAGAGGTAGCCAGATCCCCAAAGCATACTCTTTACTCTTTTGGGTGTGTGTATGTGTGTGTGTGTGTGGTTTAAAAAAACACATAACATAAAATTTACCATCTTAACCATTTTTCAGTGTACAGTACAGTGGTGTTAACTATATGCACATCATGTGCAACAGATCTCTGGAACCTTTTTAACTTGCAAAATTGAAATACTATACCCATTAAACAACTCTCCTTTTCGCCTCTCTGCAGCCCCTGGCAACCTCCATTCTACGTTCTGTTTCTAAGAGTTTGACTACTCCAGATACCTCATATAAGTGGAATCATAGAGTATTCGTCTGCTCGTGACTGGCTTATTTCACTTTGGAGAATTGTCTATTTAAGTCCTTTGCCCATTTTTTAAATTGTGTTATTTTGCTGTTGTCGTGGAGTTGTAAGAGTTCTTTATGTATTCTGGATACTAACCCTTTATCGGATACATGGTTTGCAAATATTTACTTCCATTCCACAGACTGCCTTTCCACTTTGTTGATTAAATCTGATGTAGTCCCACTTATCTAATTTTGCTTTCGTTGCCAGTGCTTTTGGTGTCGTATCCAAGAAATCGCAGCCAAATCTAATGTCATGAAGCTCCAAAATATACTCTCTTAAACGTGCTTATCAAACTATGGGTTGTAGACCTTTTAGTATGTCATGAAATTAATTTAGTGGGTTGCAATTGATATTTTAAAAGAATCAAATAGAACAGAATAGCACAGAATAGAAAATAGCAAACGAGTTACCATCTTTAGTATGGCTAAGTATTGTTTTAGAATTTTTTTTCTCAGCTGTGTATGTATATGATGGACTGTGAAATAAAATGGATTTCTACTGTGGGCCATGGTTAGAAATTTGAAAAACACTGCGCTACTCTATAACTACACTTGGACCAAGCGAAGGCCCGACACTGCTGAAGATTTTCCAGCAGCTACAGCAGAGTCATCACATAGCCCTTGGTGAACACTAAAGAACCCGTATGAGAACTATCAGGACGACATTTATGTGGCAACTTCGCTTCTGCAAAAACGAAAAATCAACTGTCACATTAAGTTAATTTTTGACATGAATTTTTAATGGCATTGTTTTGCTTTTGTAGTTACATGAAAGTTTTAAGTATAAAGATTTTGTATCTGGTTTTATGCTTATATATTTATAAAAATAAGTTACGTCTATGATAGTGGCCTGAAAAAATTTTCTTTCCTTCAGAAGTATCCATACATCAATGGAGTTTGAGAAACACTGTTTAGGTGCTGTACTGGGTTTAATAGGGTTGTTCCTAACCCCCAAGTTTATGTCTACCCACAACCTCAGAATGCGACCTTATTCGGAAATAGGGTATCTCCAGATATAATTGGTCAAGTTAAAATGAGGTCATACCAGATTAGGGTGAGCCCTAAATCTAATGATTGATATCCTTATAAGAAGGCCATGTGAAGATACACAAAAGAGAAACACAAAGAAGTCCATGTGACAACAGAGGCAGAGACTGGAGTTATGCTGCCACAAGTCAAGGAATACCAAGAATTGCCAGCAACAACCAAACTCTAGCAAGAAGCAAGGAAGGATCCTCTCCAGAAAGCCTTCAGAGGGAGCACGGTCCGCTCACACCTTGTTTTCAGACTTCTAGCATCCAGAACTTGAGAGAATAAATTTCTGCTTTAAGCCACCGAGTTTGTGATAATTTGATACGGCAGCCCTGGGAAACTAATACCACAGGCGGTACCCTGCCCCCAAACAGAGGATGCATAAGATGGGCCTTTTTAAAAGTCCTAAAAGTATAGGTCTCCACTTGTAGCAGCTATGTCATTCTGCAACTTGGGCTTCACAAGTGGGGAAATCGAGGTCCAGGGAGGTAAAGTGGCTTACTCAAAGGGCCAAAGCAAGTCAGGGGCAGAGAAGGGACTAGAAAGCAATTCTTCCCACCACTGCCTCCCGAGCTTGGCCCTCTGGGAGGGAGACCACTCCACTTACCAGAGTGAATATATTCACTGCAGGAGCAGACTTGGCTTCTTTGATTCTGGAGATGGGTTTACTGAGCTCCAGCCCGGAGCAGCTGAGAAGGCTTGAATCCCTCAGGTCAGGTACAGAGTGGTAATGCCTTGCAGATGTAAAATTATGGAAAATGAAGCCATCCTTCTTGGGGGCCTCATGGTCAAGGCTGCTGTCTGTCTCATTTTTCTTTGCATCTCTGACATTCAAGAGCAAGTCAGGTGTGCAGGACACTAATGTCAATGGCTGGAGGTACTGGGAAGGAGGAAATCAAACACACAGCCCATGGGAATCCAGCTCTGTCCACTTCCAGATTCATCTGCACCCAAAAGTAGGTGCAAAGGAGATGAGGAGGAGAAGGAAAGCAATCGGTATCAGTCTCTTTAATCTGGGCCTCTTAACCTGTGGTTCAGGGACTCCTAGAGGGCTTGTGGATGGTTTCAGGGGCTCTTCAAGCCACTTAAAACTGCACTTTTAAAATTATGTCTTTGAATACTTTATGGCAAGAGATTCCATAGCTTTTATGAGATTCTCAAAGGGTCCATGACCCTAACCAAGTCATAAAAATAAAGAAATAAAACTGCTCTAATCCTGTCCCTTCAGGTGAATCTTTGAGAAAAAGGCGATCGACTAAAAAATCAACTGAATCTGTCCACTGAGCCAGAAGAGAGAGAGAGGCAGAGAAGGGGGGATCCAAAGGTTCAGATCACAGGACAACTGGACAGCCAGGAGCTGGCCCACGTATTGAGCAGAGAGTACGATGGAAGGACCCAGCTGCGGTCAGTGACCCCACGTAATATTCAGGGTCCTGCCTCCCAGAAGCTCTTCCCTGTGGCCTGCTCCCTCAGCCATGACCCCGGCCTGCTGGAAGGGAGCATTCTAACCCAGACTGAAGTCGAGGACAGTGAGTACATGCAATCCTGGAGCCCGCTCCCTAGGTGGGGGTTGTGATTAGCCTCCCAGCTGCTAACTCCTACTGGAGGAGGCAAGAAGGACAGATCAGTGAGCGTCCTTTTTGCCCAGATGGACCAGTGAGCGTCCTTTTTGCCTTGGAAGGATGCTGGGCTCCTTGTGACTTTGGGGCTCCCCGTCCTATGGCCCAGGGGTAAGTTTCCCTGTGTAGCCCCATTTCTTTAGTGTGTCTGAGCTCTGAGAAGTGGTCTCCTCAGTACCCCTCCACGGACTGGCCCCAGCCGGGGAAGGGTGCTGTGCACGCATGCTCCCCTCCCTTCTGAGTTTACTTGTTTGGAGGCGTGGGTGGTAGCAGCCTTGTATTTCTGCCGCTGTGTCTGTTGCCAGCTCCTCGAGTTCTTGCTTCTTGCTTGCTCGCCTGCTGATTCCCCCTGCATCTCTATCTTCTTCTCTTTGGTTTGGAAGAATTTTTTCTCCTTCTTTAATCTCAGCTCCTGGATCAGTTGCCTGCCCATGGAGAAACAGTTAGTGTCATGTAGGTTAGGGATGGGCTACGAAAGTGGGCATTCTCCTTGAGCGGTGGACAAGACTGAGTAAAGAGCAGAGTGCTCCACCTTCCCTCTCCCGGCAGGTCCCGTCTGCTCAGAAGATTGACGACACAAAGAAGGAGGTGGAGGAGAGTCATCCCTCCAACCATACCATTCCCAGTCTGGGAAATAGTATCCAAGTAGAGATGCACAGGAAAGGTCTACGCCACACTCCACCACACCCTATCTCTCCCTCATTAACCAGTATAGGTCAAATTCCATACATGGCAGGTGCTGGGAAGAGGGTCTGGGCAGGAGGCTAAAGTCAGGGGCTCCCACATTAGACCGCTTCATATCCTGGGCCTCTCTGGCCAATGATATAGTGGAAATAACATGGTTATGTGAGTCAGAAGACATGTGCTCTGGTCCCTCTTCTGTCATTATCTGCTGTATGATCTCTTCTCTGCTCTGCCCTCCCCTTCCATAAAATGAGGTGATGGGTGGGGACTGGACTGGATGGGATGAGTCCCTTCCAGCTCTTAGAACCCAGGAGGAAGTTCTGAGGGAGCTAGGAATTCTGGAGTGGGGTGGGGTTGCCTGTCTCAGGGGTAAGTTTCCAGAAACAGCCACACATCTACTTAACAACACTCCACACCAGGGAATCTTAAAATTCCTGGTCCTTATGAGACTAAAGTATATGTCCCCCTGGCAACTTCAAGGTTAGGGACTAAAGCTCAGAGACCCTCCTCTCGGTCCGGTCGGGCCAGTCACTCAGCAGGTCAAGCACAAACCCCCCAAGACCCCACCCATCTTGAGGGCACCTGCCTACCGGGCATATACCTCCCGGGCCCTGGAGGTAATTGTGTTCTGGAAGAGGGAATTGTTGTCCTGGAAAAACTTCTCATACTTTTCCGAATTCAGACTGGGATAAATCAAGCGGAACCCTCCACAATTTTCCTTCTCATACTTCTCAGTTTTCTCTAGACGCAGAGCCCGAAAACCCTTGACTTCCTCGATCCTGTTGAGAAGCAGAACACAGGGTTTCACTGGGACATGGCTTAATTCTTGGAAGGGACGTGGTGAAGCTGGATGTCATCTAGGGCCAGGCAGAGGCCATGCGCACAACAGTGGTCAATCGGTATTTCTCCAAGAGGAGATTCTAGCCCTCCCGGGATAGCCAGTGTCATCACGCACTAAGAGCTGGTTAGAACGGACTTTCTGACAGGTCACCTGTTACAAGTAAAACCCATTTCCCTGTTGGCTTAGTTCTGCTGAGGCGGACTGTCACCACCTTCCCAATCACAGCCCTTATTACCCTTCTCTGGAGAATGACGGCTTGTGTTTTGCTAAATTTGAGGGCTTCTAGGATGAGCTTGATGAGCTTTTATGAGCTGTGATGATCTCATTCTTCCTCACAGCCCCCTGAAGAGGTAGAGGTGAGGGAGGGAGGAAGGATAAGCCCCTTTTACAGCAGGGAAACCAAGAGCCACTGAACTATCCAGGGCCAAACCATGCCAAGGAGACTGATTCAGAGGAGGGCTCTGGCTGTTTCTTACTGATGCTGCCTTCTCCTCAAGGAGTTTAGGGAAAGCTGGCCCAGTGGAAGGCACCCTGGAATCCCAGCCACACACTCCCTGGGCTCTGGGTCCAGACCTGCCACTTACCATTTCAGAGTCTTGGTCTCCTGAGCTCCAAAACGAGACCATACACTACCCCACACTACCTGCCTACCACCCTCCTTACAGGGAAGACAGCACAGGTGAAAGTGCTCTGGGAAACACGGTGCCATCCAAACATAGACGCTATTGCCCCAGCTCTAGAAGTTTAATCTCGAAGGACCAGGCTGGCTCCACTCATGAGGAGGGCAGGGGCCACGGTGAGATCTGAAAAGCAACACGGGCATCTCCTGGACCGGGCCTGGGGCCTTCTGATGCTAGAGTCACTCTGCAGAAGAAAGCCTCTGAGAAAAGGCAAATGCTGCCCATCAGGAATCAGGGACACATTAGCTCCTGCCAACATGGTAACATGGGGTAAGACAGGCAAATCTTCCTTTTTGTAAAAATAAAGGAATGGTTTCGCTTTTTGTATTGGTAATTCCTGAGTCTGCATATATTAATAAACTCATACCCATTATACATAGTTATGTCTATCACTTAAGTCTTCTATTTTTAGAAACAAAGGAATATTCACAGTAAAACTGTTCAAACTGTCACATTCTGCAAATATAAACAAATTTTCCAAGTAGCATTATCTTTTGTAAGAACTGATTCCTCTCCTCACCAACTCCAGGCAAGATTCTTACTAGTCTCTAACATAAGTTATAGTGCCAGGCACTATGATAAGCCTTTTGTATACATTATCTCATTTAACCCCCGCCCCCCCAAAAACCCCTTTGTATCATTAGCTCCATTTCACAGAAAGAATACTGAGGCTCAGAGAAGTGAAATAAAGGGCACATAACGAGTAGGCTGTCAAGTCGTAACTTGGACCAGGACAGACCAGTCTTATTGGGAGCAGAGAAGTCATAGAGAATGGGGTCCCCAGGGGGACGGGGGGTGCTACTGCACCTGGTCTTCCTGGAACGACACTGCTGCAGGAACCGCCCCCGTTGCCTCTCCTCCTCCAAGACTTTCTTTTTGTCACAGCTTCCCAGATTGACCAGGACCAAGGTGTCATACAGCAGACTGTCCTTCACCTCTTTATCCAACCAGGAGTCAGTAGAGAAGCTTGGAGAGTGGTTGACCTGGGAGGGCAAGATGGCAGCTGGGCACTGGGCTGTCCGGTGTGAAAGCAGGGAGTGAGGCCAAAATGCCACCTCCAGGGAGCTACTCACGCCCACCTTGGGGCCCTGGCTACCAAGATGGGTGGAAAGGAGAGGGAGAGAAGGTCTGGCCTGGAGCCACAGGGAGGGAAGGAGGAAGTGGAAGCCCCTCCAGTTTAACTAGCTTTGATGTTAGTCCCTTCTTCTTGAGAAGCATCAGGGCGTGCCCTGTTTCTGGTTTCCCCTCAATCTGGGGTGTGGTGCTCTCACACGTGCACTGTGCACTCCACAGAGCAGAGGGAAAGGCCAGTCGGAAGGGCCAGGCAGGGACATAGGGAGTAGAAAGGAGTGACGCTTTGGGGATCCTGACAGGGAGTTTAGGGGGAGACAGGTAGGAGGAGGGAGAAGACTCATTCCCGCTCACAGAAACGTCCATATCGTTCAGCAGTACTATGTGACATTTGAAGATTTCTAGCAGTTTCTGAAGGCTTGCTCCTGGTGGCTAATTCTGCTCTTTGGGTAAGATCTCCAAACAACCATATTGTCCTTCCCACCCACACCAGGGAACGAGGACTGGGAACGGAGGAAAAGCAAGGCCCCAGAAATCCGATCTATAATTCTGGGTTATCCATTCTAAAGGCTGACTCTATGTCACTGGCAGCTGGCACTAGCACCTCTGATTGGCACCACACCCCACCTTCACCCCCGCTCCCTGTGTGCATACTGAATGGCCTCTGGAGAGGGCTGCTGAGCACGAGTTCAATCTGGGAGAGAGAGAACCACCCTGAAGCTTTTCTTCCTCCTCCTCCCAGCACCTCATGAGTCTGGGGGAGACAGAAAATTCAATGAGTGGCTCCCCACCCATTCCCGCGGCCACAGATAGCAGGCTCTTCTCTGTTGGTGCTTCAAACTGAGGGGTCCAGGCCCCTGAGAGCCAGGCGTGGCAGCTCGCATCTGATCTTAAATATCATCAACCCAGCTGTGATGGAGAACACCCCCTTTCTGGGATATGAATCTGTTACAAAAGGTAGAACTGTCTTTAGAATCACTCTATGCCTGAGATCAGAGTTTCCAAGTCTGGGTGGACCTTAGAAAGACATAAGGAATTCTCTAATTCCCGGCCATCTACCCCCCTCTGGTGGCCACTTCTCAACTAAGAGAGAAGCCCCTGGCAGCAAGCACCACGGGAGGAACTGGTGCAGGAAGTTGATTTAAAAGATCTAGCTGAGGGCGGAGAGATGATGAGCCTGAAGCTGGCTAACCCCAATTATAGGGGCCAGTTTTCACCCCTCGTCCCAACCTTCCTACCTCCAGCAGCCAGGGCTTCAGTTTGCGGTCCAACAAAACGTCAAAGCCCAGGATTTCAAAGCAGGCGCTATTGAGTGTGTGGTTGGGAAAGCAGGTGTGGTAGTTATGCTTGATGACGGGGTGGGCTGAGATGATTGTCTTGATGATGACGTCCTCGATATCTCTCCATATCTGCTCCAGGTTGTATCCATGGCTCTCCATGTACATGTTGAAGGTGGAGAGCTTCCTGGAGGGGAACCACGGCCCGCTTCTGGTCATCTAAGGCCACGGCATGCTGGAAACCAGAAACTTCTAGAGCAGATACATCCCCCGAACCAGTAAGGATGGACACCCAAGAGCCAGGGTGACACCAGGGCTATGTCAGCTCAGGAGGGGCCTGCAGGAGCCCCAGGGCCACAGCCCCCAAGCCTCCACAGCCCTGGAGTGGGCACAGATATAATGACACGTCAAGACCTGCCTGGGCACTTTCCTTGTGGTCCAGAAAACACCCATAGGCTGGGGTGGAGACTGAGTATTCTGGGTGGAAAGCTTAATGGATGAATAAAAAAGAAATAAAAACAAACACCCTACATCATGGTTTTGCTCTGATGGCAATTTCTCAGGCTTCGGTGTTCATTACAAGTACTCATGGAGCCTTTTAAGAATACTGCTACCTGAGTTCTACTTCGGCCATCTGAGGAGATTCTGGGGACACTAAGGACACAGAAATTTTGTTTTAGGGTGACTTGCAAGAAAAAGGCAGCCCAAGGCATTTCCACAGATAGGGCTACCCACCGTCTCGAGCAGACCAGGATCGTCCCGATTTCAGAACTGAAAGTACCACATCCCAGGAAACCCCTCACTCGCAGGCCAACTAACGTAGAGATCAGAGGATGTCTACCCAATGGAGAGAAGTTCATGAGGAGCCATCCGAGGGAATCCTCCTGTCGGCTTCACGCTGGGCCGTACAGAACGAGGGCGAGCCCAGCAGGTCCAAGAGGTAATGAAGGAGACAAACACCTACCCCTTCACACGCAGGCACGTGTGCACAGACAGTCGAAGCGGGAAGTGGGGAAATGGGAGGAGGAGACGCAGGGGAGTGAAGAGCAAAGAGGAGAAGGAGGAGACAAGAGACGTGGCTCATCCAGGGAGTTCAAAGAGCTCACTGGACTCCGGCCAACAGAGTCAAAAAGGAGGAGGGGGGGTCATCCAGCCCATGCACATTTGCTAAGGGCCTGCTGTACGTGCAAAGTTTGTGCAATGAGGGGATCCCAAGAAACCACCACCTCTGTCGTGCAAAGCCTAAGGACAATTTGAGAAGTAAATACATACGTGAAACAACCAAAAATGCATTTATATAAAGACAGATAAGCAAAGGTCACTTAATAAAGAGGCCCACATCCTCTACCTGCCACTGTCGGGGAATGGGGGCTACACATAAACAAATTTTCCGGGTTACCTGAAGCCAATCCTCTCAAGTGCAAAACTGTATTTAATTTGTCAAATTGGGAAATAAGGTTTCTCAAAATACATTATGCACTTCTTTGCCTTCTTATAACAGACATTATGCATCATAACATAACCTCTCCTTGATAACTCAGGCATATCACAATGACTATGTGTTGTATAATTTCATAATGTCCACTGGTTAGTCAGTTCAGTTTAACACACCAGCCGTGTGCCAGGCATGCTGAAAGATGAAGAGGACCTGATCTCTGCCCCAGAGGCCTGCCAGATTTCCAGTTTTTCCGCCCTCTCCTTCACTGCTCCTACTGAGTTTGCACCCTAGTGGGGGATTGACTGGAGAGGCAGTCGGCCTCAAACTGGGGTGGGGGAAATTGGGGGCAGGTGAGGCAGTCAGTGTGAGAAGCAGATTGTCTCAAAAGACAGGGAAAAGGAAGAAGAAAGGTGAAAGGGAAAGGGAGGGAGAGAAGGAAAAAAGGACTCTGCCTAGCAACATAGGAAGCACCCAGAAGGCCAGGGCACCATTCTAACTCTTAAGTGCAGGAGCTTAAGTACCACTGGGGACACAAGACAAACATGCGCACCAAGCATCTAGAACCTAACTAGCTCATAAATTAATCTCACCATAATCTAGAATTAAATTTGAATGTTAAAAATGACCATAAGGAGAGTGGGAGTCCGGAGATGGAAAGGTCACAGTGGGCGGTTAGACTGATTCCACAGGCTCGTCCTTAGAGATGGCACCCCATCCTCTCATTTGATAAGTGAGGATGCAGAGGCCCACAGAAAAGATGGGTTTCACCCACACTGCAGTGTTCTGCGGCTAGACCAAAATTCAGAACCAGGTCAGAGAAGACAACGTGGAATCTTGATGAGACAGAAGGGCCTTCAAGAATGCTTTCCCATGTTTTCGTTTGGAGATGAGCAAAGGCAGAGAGGTGAGAATGAGCAATCAAATATGAGCGTGAGAGTGTCTCTGGTAGAATACCACGGAGCAAATAGCACAGGCAGCATTTCCTGGCAGTTAAGGGCATGGCCTTGGGAGTTTTAATTCCAGCTCTGTCACTTCCTAGCTGTGCGACCTTGGGCAAGTTACTTCACCTTTTACACCTGTTTCCTAATATGCAAAATCAGGATGATGATAACATAGTATTGTAAGGATGAACTGAGTTGAGGTATGTAATTTCTTAGAGCAGTGCCTGGCATATATCAAGTGCTCAACAAATAAAATGTTGACTATTCCTGTAGTAGTAATAGTGGAAAGTGGGATTTGGTCACTTTAGTAAATTGAGCGGAGGAGTTTGAACTTTATGCTCTAGGCATCTGGGAGCCACACCGCTTACTGAGAGTGGAAGTAACGAGTATACAGAATATACAATAGTAACGGCATCCACTAGCATGGGGGTTATTGTTTCTGAAGCCCATTCATACATATTATCTGAATAGGTCCTTACAGCGTCTCTGTGAGGCTGGCCAGCCAGTATTCCTATTTTATTATGACATTTTAGAGATGAGAAAATGGAGTACAGAGAGGGTAAGTAGAGGTGCCTGGAGCTAGGGAGAAGAGCAAAGAGGCCAATGCAGCCATCGGGTCTGAGTCTGAAGTGAGGTGTGGGCCTGCTGGAAAGGAAGGGATGCAGGGAAACGCCCTTAGAGTAAGGAAAAATAGCATTAACCACGAGCGCCATCTGTGCTGCTATCATAGCTTGTTTGAGGCCCACGGTGACCCTATGAGATGGGTAGGACATGGCCCGGCAGGGCGTCTTATCACAGACCAAGAAATGGAGGCTCAGAGAGATGAAGGGACTTGCCCAAGCTGACTCAGCCGGTGAAAGTCAGAGCGAGACTGGAAGACAGGCCTCACTGAGCACAGAAGCTCCACATGCAACAGCACAGGAGACTCAGCTGGTGCTCACGGTCCAGGAGGAGAGAGGAGGTGGGAGAGCTTCAGGCAAGACGAGTGTCTGGTGCCATCTGAAAAAGGGGAGACTGCCTCCACCCAGCCTGACATGTTCCCTTAATCTAATGATTTCTCATTTGCTTTTTGGAACTCTGCCACCGAGGGAATCGTGAAATTTCCCATGCCTCTCTGGAGCTCTGAAGCCAAACAGATTGCCTGTGTATCGGCCCTCTGAAGCTTGCTGCAGAAGTAGTATGTGCTTTGCAGTCTGACAGACCTACCCTCTCATCCTGTTCTAGCATTTATAGCTGTATGACCTTGGGCAACTTACTTCTCAGGGGCTCAGTTTCCTTATTTGTAAAACAGAGATGGCACCTAATTCATAGTTCTCTACCTACAAAGGGTAGATTATAATACTCTGTCATAGTGTTGTGAAAATTCGATGAAAAAAAAAAAATGCACGCAAAACGCCCAGCTTGGGCCCCAACACAAAAGATGCCTCAGAAAATACTTCCCTTTCCTTTCCCCCTTGTCTGGTCATGTTCACATTCTTCAGTCCTCCTTTTTCTTAAAACTCAAATGAGACAGGATTAGATGATAACATGCATGTAAAAGCTGCTTGGGAAGAGACTCATGCATTCCTCTCATTTTCCTCCCTTCTTCTGGAGAATCTGAAAGCCAGCTAGCCACATGTCATGTCACACCAGGCGTCGTGACATATCACTTGAGAATCTCTGCTGGAGCAACACCCCAGGGAACCACAGGCTTAGAACAACTGCCTGGCACGTCCTTTTCCCGTGGCAGACCAGTGATCAGTAAATATCTGTTGGTTTGGAAATGTCAGAAGGGCCAACTGTAACAGGAGTATATTTTGCTGTGTGTGTGTATCCTGCTGAGGGAATAGTTCATGTTTATTCTCCTCCTCCCCTCCTCCTCTCCTCCCCTCCTCGGGTTTATGATGTGGCCTTCTTTTAATGATTAACAGCCAGAGGGCAGAGCCGAAGGAGTCTGTTCTGGGTTTAGAGGTAAAGAAATATTTTCTGAGACCACGTGATCTAAGATGGAAACACAGATGGGGAACTGACAGGGTTTGGGTGGAATCCCAGAGACCAGCTCTGAGACTGGCAGAAAAAGAAAAGTGAAGCCACTTCCTTACCTCTTGCTGCCAGAGTGAGCATCTTGAATGAAATTGGAACTGTGCTTATTAATGGAATAATTAGTCAGGTGCATGCAGATATCATCCTGGGGAAGAGACAGAAGTCTGTGGGGTCAGGAGAAAGGGCAGGCCTCCCACTGCCTCTCTGTGCCCTCCCAGGGACCTGAGGCTTAGAGATGGAGGAAAAAGGGGAAGTCTTAGGGCTTATTTAAACTGGCAAAACAGAGGGATTAAGAAAGGGTATCCTACAGCCTGGAGTATAAGAAACTCTAATTCCTCCTGCGATTGGGTGGTAGGTACCCTGCCTGAAAGACACTTCAGGAGTACTGGGGGAACCGGGGTGTGGAGGGAGCAATGGGGGCTTGCCCAAGACCTTCCTTCCTACCAGGAAACTGGTACCGTGTTACAGTCAGGCGGACCTGGCTGTGAGTCTCCGCCAGACCTGTTCCTAGTTCTGGGACCTTGGACAAGTCCTTTTACTCTCTGGGTTTTCATTTCCTCTCTGTAAAAGGGAGGTGATAATCCCTATTTCTGCGGGCTCCTGGGAGTGCTAAGGGAAAGAATGTATGCAACCCGGCTCATAGTAAGCGTTCGACAAATGGCAGCCATGTACACAATGTTCGAGAATGTGGGTTTAACTAGGGAGGAAAGGGAAGGGGCAGGCCCCCTGAGCTCACCAGGTTGTCTGTGCAAGGTTGAGAGTAAGAAGTCGTGGCGAAGCGGGCCAGTCCTTCTTTGTAGGCGAAAATCCTGAGAGGGTCACAGGATGTCATCAGCACATAAATCCGGAGGTCGAACTTGAACCCATCGATGATAAAGGGCTGAGAGAAGAGAACAGAAGTCACGCAAGCATCGGAGGAGAAACTCAGACTTGAAGATCATTAGCATCCTGTCTAGTTTTCATGACATCGGCTCCAACACTGGCCTTACACAGCGCAGGCTTGGCCAGGGCTGGGGAGAGGGAGAAGGGGACTTGGTTACTGACCTACCATGTGATCTGTGGAAGTCACTAAACTACACTGTGCCTCAGTTTCCTGGTCTGTCAAATCGCATGGGTAACCACCTCCAAAAGAGCTCCTAGCAACTAAATAAAATAATATTAACAAGTCCTGTGATGAAGAACATGTGATCACCATCCAAGGCTATGTTATTGCTGCAGTTCTGTAAGAGTTCTCCCTGCCCTGGCCAAGGCTCCTCTGCGCACAGTCCCAGAGGGCTCCCTGGAGTAAAGCTGGTCATGGAGTAAAGCTGGTTCCCAGTGTCTCACCAGGACTACTCCTCTCTCCCAAATGAGCCGGGGCTTCCAGAGGCCAAAGGCGTTCTCCCAGCTGTTGTCTGTTAGAGGCAAAGGTCCAGCCTCGCAGGGCCAGACCGAATGACAACGGTGCAAGGGCGAGGGACACTCTGACCCAGGTACATTTCGCATCCCTGGTCAGGAGGCTTGGTCCGATAAAGTCCAAGGCAGAAGACAGGACTCAGCCTCACCCCCACCCCACCCCTGCCCTCCATTCTCTCATTGCACGTTCGGTCCAGTGGAGCTAGCCTGAGGCCGCTGCGGGAGTAGATAGTCACGGTGAGGAAGTACCTTTGAAATATAGACCTGACAGATCATGTCCTCCCCTGGTTTGATTTCTTTCACCGTCCGGGTGATGAATATACCTCTCCCTTGGCAGCCCGAATCCGGCTTGCAAATGTATGTCTTATTTTTTCTTGACCTGCTGAAGTTCTGCAAATCTCCCCAGCTACCAGAACAGGGAGGGAACGAGACACACCTTTAGCTGGGGAGCAGTGACAAGAAAAGCTAGCTCTTTATTTTTTTTAAAAAAATTATACGACGTATATTTATGTGTATAAATATTATATATAAAATGTGGCAAAAGTCCTGGAGTTGACAGACAGATGCCCAGAGGTCTCATAATAGGAGGCAGTAGTGCACACACAGTGGGTTTTGGAGGGAATTCGGGTCTGAATCCTTTGCAAGTACTTGACCTCTGTAAGCCTCAATTCCATCGTCTATGCTATGAGGATAATAACACCTATCTCATGACATATGTAGGCAAGGTTCTAATACAAGCTGCACACCCCATAAAGTTAGTCATGACCAAAGAGTTTGATTTTCTGGGTTTGCAGATAGGAGATTTGGAGTTCTGAATCTGGCTCAAGGCCCAGGCAATGTGACCTTGAATCAATCAGTCTCTTCTCTGACTCTGGGCTCAGCTTTTCCTCTGTAACATCTCCACTCTAGCCAGAAGGTAAGAGGGTAAAGACTATCTTTGAACATACTTTGAAGACATTATAGTCAGAAGAAATAAAGAAACCAACTTAACAGCCTCTAAATCTCAGTCTTGCTATATCTCTTGTTTTGCATTTTAACTCAAAAGAAACTTGTGATCAGTGGAGATCATTTAGCTGCAAAGTTCCTCAGTGGCCATGAAATTCGAAGGCACCTGTTGACCTGATGGCAAACACATTTCCTTCTAAGTTGCTGTTAAACCCTGAAAGTTGTTCCAGACATCTAGGAAAGGCTGGGAACCCTGGAGCTCTGGGTTTGGGAAAGCACTGGGCAAAGAGGAGAGAGTGGGAGTTCTCTGGGGCCTTTGCCATGCAGTATAATTCTGATGGCGACACTTCCCTGCCCCCTCCACCTCATCTCAAACACCAGATTGTACCCAGGTCATGTTCACGTCAACTTAAATTTCTCCTGTTTCCTGGTGATGTGGTCCACAGCATTTTATGTAGCAGGAAT